CCTGCCCGAAGAAAAGGCCTGCCCCGCTGCTGGGAGCGCGATTGAACCACCTGTGCTTGACTGCGATGTTTGTATTTTCAGACCCTTCTCTGCATAAACCCGCCACTGTTCGAGGTTTATCAGACGCTGCTGAGCCCCACGCAGCATCATGTGGCGCTCATCGGTACGAAGGGGCTCATGGTGCTGGAGCTGCCTAAGCGCTGGGGGAAGAATTCCGAGTTTGAAGGTGGGAAATCCACGGTCAACTGTAGGTGGGTGAGACCTCGGGCCCCACCGTCACTCCTCGACAGCCTCGCCGTGCTGGGGCCGCGCGGATGCCGAAGGCATTGGTTATGTCGGGGTGGTAGGGACAATCTTTGGCTCAGGGACCGGCTGGTTGTCAAGTGACCTGAATAAATGGCCTTCTAAACTCGTAAATGCTGAGGAGCAAGGTGTTCCTCTGCGGTATTCTCCAGGCTTTCTGGGGTGTTTTAGCTGTGGTAGCTAAAAGCACACGTCTAGATGGAAATAACAAAGGGCTCAAGTTAAAGCTGTCCCTCCAACTTTAAGAATAATATAGGTAGTGGTTTTGAAACCTTTTAGTTGGATTTCTAGCTCCTCTTGCCCCTGCTTCCCTTTAGAATTAACTTCTTTTGTTTTTCTTGTAACAGTGGGTATTTCTGCTCTGTGTTTCAGCACTGTTCCTATTGCGGAAAGGTTCTTCACAAGCTCAACATCTCTGACTTTAAAGCATGCTGCTTGGTACCCCTGTGAGACGTTAGAGCCCCATATTGTGCTCCTAACTTCAGATAACACTATAAGGTAAAACCTGTTTGTAGCTGATTATTTAAGAGAGTTTCTTTTGTCATTGCCAGTCTGATTTTTTGCCAGATATTTGTGTCCTGCCATTCTTACCAGGATTACCAATAAAAAATAGGATGGGAGACATTTCAGACTGATGCCAGCTGATGTTCATGCATTAGCAGGGACACGTGCAGCACTGTCAGCCAAATGAACATTGCTCCTGTTTCTTTCCTCTAGGTTTTACAGTCTGAAGGTACCTCAGACGCCCATCAAAGTGATTGCTCTTTCTGACACCGAGGAGGAGACTTTTACAATCAAAAAAGGGTTTGTGTGGCTTCTTGTGTTTTGAAATGCTTTTGATAGAGTAAGCTCTGGATTCTCAGTTTTGTTTTTAATGACTAAGTGATAAATCTACCTGAAAATCTGATGTGATTTTTTTTCATGGATTTCTTCAGTGCCAGGGCTTCTCCCTAGCACAGTAATGGCACTTTTTCTTTTTTATTTTTTTCCATCTGTCTAAAAAAGCGTTGTTGCAAACTGTACAGTCAAGTGTTTGTCAGAGTAGCAATTTGAAAAATATGCATTGTCTTTAAGAAGGAGTTAGGAAGGGCTTTTTGAGTGGGGAATGCAGAAAATAGACGGTCTCTTTATTTTCCTCTTGGCCTAGCTGGAAAGAAAAAACTCGAGGGTCTCCACTAGTCAAGTCACCGACTGATGCGCTACCCAGGAAATCACCAGTATGCCCTCCTCTTTTATGCTGTGAAACTGGGCTGGCTGGAGGGTGTATTGTGGAAATGAGGTGCCGTAAGAAGGGAGTTACTTGCACACTTTTGCTGCTGAAAATAGCGTACATCGAAGGACTGATGGCAGGTGTATAGCAGCAATGTGTCAGCACGTACCGATGGACCTGGTTAAACACTTGGGTTCTCGCAGTCGTTGCTGACTTCAGGTCTTGCCCTGACTTGTCCCCAGGAGAGCCTACACAGCATCGCTGGGAGAGACTGCGGTGGCGTTTGACTTCGGCCCGCTGGTTCCAGTCCCAAAGAACATTCTTGGACAGCGAGGGAGTGAAGAAGTGTTGGCCTATCCACTCTACATTTTGTATGAAAATGGAGAGACGTTCCTCACCTATGTCAGCCTGCTACACAGGTAGGATCGTGTTCGTCCTCGGGTTTCACGGAGCACGTGTGGGTTTGTACGATGTTAGGGTTGGAGAGCCATCCCTCGGTTTGGCTGGGACTCTGTAGCGGATGCCGGGCTGAGTTTTATTGTACTGCAGCCTGTTTTAAATCCTTGTGGCAGCACTAGCAGACTGAAATAGCGTGTCATCTGTTTTCATCCAGACGTCAAGGGTGCAGTGTCCACTGCTGAGAATCCACTGTCCATTATTTGCCATCAGAAATTTGAACTCAAGACACCAGACACTTAAAAGATCAGTGGGTCTAAGGCTGTTGGGGCGTATTTTGGGGCCTTCAGTTCACAGCGCAGACATCCTTAGCTTTGGATGAGGCTGAGTGAGCCAGTGGCATCTTAGGAAAAGAAATATTTTGAGATCACAGAGGGTTGGCAGACATGTTCCATAATGAAAAGTCAAGAATATGAATCAAGAATATAAACACAATACAAGAAAAAATTGCTTCAGAAGACTGAGAAGACGGTGGAAAACTTACAAGTTAGACCTAGTGTAACTGAGGATTAAAACATGGTATTTAGGTTAGAAACAGCACTGTTTGCGTGAGAAATGCTGCAGCATTGAGCAGAGCCTGTCTGTAGGCAAGGAAATGGGCTTAGTCCTTTGGAAGCTCTACCTAGAGAAATGCCAGGCCACAAAATGCGGCTTGTAAAGTGCTTTATTAAGCAAGAAACCAATGAAGTGATAATTAACTTGAGCTTTCCGTGAGTACTTTGTGTTCTTGTATGAAAATGCTTCCTCTTGAACTTTTTGCAGTGTAGCTTGGTTGCTTTTGAAGCATAAAACATTACTGAGCTCCACTTTCTTCTCCGAGATCTCCACCAAGAGTCTGTGGTTCAGACTCTTAGTCCGCAGAAGCCTGGGTTGCTGCTGTCTAACGGAAATTAAACAGAAGGCCAAACCATTGGGTTGTTTGGTTTTGTTTTTTGTTTTTTGTTTTATGTTTTTTTTTAATTATCCTTATTTTGTAGTTATTGTGCAGCAAGCTCCCGTAGGCAGCCAAAGGGAACTCTCCTTCCACACCTTGTGTTGTGAACACATCTTCTTTCTTCCAGCACTGGAAACCTTGGCAAGCTGCTTGGCCCTCTGCCCATGCACCCTGCTGCAGAAGATAACTACGGCTATGATGCCTGTGCTGTCCTTTGCCTGCCGTGTGTTCCAAACATCCTGGTGATTGCCACCGAGTCGGGAATGCTTTATCACTGCGTGGTACTCGATGGAGAAGAGGATGATGAGCAGGTACCTTGTCTTGTTTCTTTCCTGTGGGCATTTTTGTTTCTTTAGTCCAAGTTCCTGGCTGCAAGGTGGCAGGATGCCTCGAAGTGAAGGCCAAGGGCCAGCGCTGCATTGTTTCATAATGAGGTAGTGAGTCTTCCTCCTGTTGCAGCCAGTCTCTGGGATTCTCTGGTGAATTTATTTTAAATGTCAGTTCTGTGTATGCTGCTGGTAGGTCAGCTTTTATTCAAACTTATGAACTATTTTAAAGAAGATCTTCTAAGAAGAAACCCTGTTTCTGAGATAAATTTTTTAAGTTAAAAAAACCCATAGGGACTTGAACTTCTTTCCCTGACAATTCATACGCTTGCCTATTTTATGTAACTTCTTCTTGATG